AGAACCCAGACAAGAGAAGCAGCAGAGCATAATTAAAATAAATAAACAAAACGTATAATGGTGCCCGCGTACAAAAACTAAAACACGTGTAAGAGAGTTCGGAGCTGCTAGAGCTCTCACCTGACGTCGCTAATTAGCACCAGCAGCTTACTACTATGCATGGATCATCAACTATCACCCATACCCAAACAGAGAAACAACCAGAACCAGAGAGTACAGAAGAAGACTGTAATAAGAGGGAAAAAACAATAGTGGGGAGGGGTAAAAGGAAGGGAGGACAGAGATTTTAGGAGGTTGAAGTTGAACACCGCCGACACCCCCTTGACCGGAATAAATAGTTCGTTGCAAGAAACAGAGAAGGCAAGGGAGAATAAATATGTGGGGTATTATAAAGCGTAACAGCAGAAGGCGATCATTTGATTCTGCGAAAGGTGATGTCAAGAGAGAGAGAGAGAGAGAGAGAGAGAGAGAGAAGTGTCGGCCTAGAATTGCCACGAGGGAGTTAGGGACGCGTACTTCCGGGCGATGAGGTTAGAACTCGGGTGTTGTTGTTGGTAAGTGGAGACCGTGGAGAGAGGAAGAGCAGATGTCTTTGTCATCAACCATCCAATCCAAGTAAATAAGAAGTTAAGAACTAAAGATTCTTTGTTTTTCTTTTTATATTTAATAATTAATTAATTGGTCGATGGCATTTTTATTCCATTCCAAAAGTAAAGATAGATAAGATTTTTTTTGGGTAATAATATAAAGTGGAAATAAAGAAATAAAAATAAGTATGAAGTGTGAAGGCGTTGGTCACTTGGTGATGGACTGATGGTGTTGGTGGGAATGGCTATGATTGGGCTGAAACGTGGGTCCACCTACCACCTCTACAGAGAAGGACAATATGGGAATTTAAGTATTTTCATATAACATCCATTGACCACAAAAGGGCTACACGACGGTGGTAGGAACTTGGTGAAGGCGGGATTGTTTGTTACAGGTTACAACTTACAAGTAGCGAGAGACAGAAAGACTCCACCATGAGACTAGCTGGCACCTTCAAATTCAACACCAGACGATTGTCCCGGTGTTTGGTTGTCGGGATTCGGGACCTTAAAATGGTAGTTTGTTCCGGTATACACTTCTGTTGGGCTCAAATGAAATTGGGTATCGTAGGACTAAAAACAAAGAAGTTGGTTATACGCTTGAACCATTTCCAATTTAATGTCTTCCCATTGTCAAGACGGCATAAAATCTGGCATGTCCTAAAATGGCTTGGCTCGGACCTAAGTTAGACCGGGTTCAATACATATCAGGAATCAGGATGGGCGGTAAAAATCGGTAAGGCTATGAAAGACCCATTAAAAGCTTTGAATAATAGAATCATTTACATTGGAACTCTCTTATTTCTTATTTGCAACCGAGTCGAGTTTTAATCAGATAATTCATTCAGGTTTGAGTTCAAATATCAAAGTAAGTTCGATTAATCATTTATAAAATGTTCAGCTCAAAATTCGAATTTATCGAATATTTAATCAAATGAATTTCAACCAAAAAATAAAACTCGAATTAAATTCAACCTCAGGTGTAAGATTATTTAAGTCAAACCAAATCAAAATATGTCAAAAAATTCAGCTCAGCTCGGCTGGATTGCACCCTAAGTTCAATGATTCCTAACCCCTCTTTCATATGGGAGGATACAGTTAACACAACTCTGACGTGGGAACCGAGCCAATCGATATAATGCACTGATTTTTGAAATCGGACCAGTATGCCGGTTTGATTAATTGTCCATTTTTTTTTTTATGTTAGTTGAAAACTGAACCAATCTGAACAAACTGCATCTTTCGATTCAGTTTTCTCGGTTTGATTCCATTTTTCACTTTATTGGTTTTTTATGAACAATTGCATAGCTGACAGTCTGACAGAGTAACCTATTTGATGTCAATTATAAAAAAGAAAAAAGAAAAACTAGACCGTTTGATCTGATTGCAGTACTTGCATACTCAATTAACGCATGGATAGATAAACGGTAAGTTCCAGCCAAAAGTGCTCTGCCATGTGCAAGAAAATCGCTACTTTCTTGATTGAACAAAAAAAAAAAAAATTGAAGCACGACCAGTTGCTAACTTGCTACGGTGCACGTGAAACCGGAGCTGCGGGTTTGATGCAAGAATAGATGACAGATTAATACACGTGGCTAATTAAAAGACCGCATTGTATTTGTACATGGCAGAGACAACAATGATGCTTACACTGCAAGCTTCTGGATCCGGTGGCCAGAAACGAACAGAAAGGCGTGTTTCATGGTTTATTGAATAAGTAGCGTCCATGTAATAAAAACTTTGTCTTTAATTAAGAAAAAGAAAAGCGAAAAAAGGAAAGAAGATGAGCACTTTGGCGCGGAGCTATGATTGCGTTTGACGGATGGTCCTGCCTTCTCCCTTTATTTTGCTTTCCTTGTTACACTTGCACTTGTTCGATGGAAGGATGATGCCATAGTCACGGTTTGATACAGGTTTATTCTTGCTTATATTTGGTGGCTTATTTTAAGGGACATTACCGATTATTTTTTTCAGTAAAATTATTGGGAAATTTTATGTCATTTTCAGGCAGATTTTCAAAAGTTTTAACGTAATTTTTGATGAGGGGTGGTCGACCTCTTTGGGTGCTTAATGTTGGCACTTCTAGACCAAAATCTCTTACGGGGCGGCCTTGGTTAATGGCTAACATGGCTATTGGGGTTCATCATGGGCACATACAAGCTCATGGGATAGTGTATGGACCGACATTGCACCACCGACACTCAAGGGAGGCTATGCATGTGCGTCTGGCTAATGCATGTCCCTGCACCTCGCTAGCCCCGTGTCTGAGCTGAATGAGCTATCCCGTTACCCATAGTGCACGGGTGTGTTTTGGCCCAGTGGTTGCCTATCATTATCATCACATCAGGTGCTTACATCATCAACATACAGGAGTCCCTCTCATCGGCACCCAGTCGCCTCTCATCATGGTCATCCCCCTTTAGCACGTAAGAGGCGCCTCCCATGGATCGGCCAGAGCCAGCAAAGAGCCCCGACCATGCGAACTAAGTTCATGATCCAGTGCTACTAAACTTGGTGGAGCCATTTCATCGGGCAACTCCTAGCCTCACATCACACAAAAGGCTTGTCCTTAGCCTGCCTTGGCCTAGACATCGCACAGGTTTTCTTCCGCTACAGATCTACCCCCGTGACAGTTGGTATCAGAGCGAGCTAGCCAATTGCTGCCGCAGTTGGTATTAGAGCAGAACAACATAGAGCCAGTTGAAGTGGTAATCTCGACAAGCACCACATCGTGGGGTGCGGTCCCTACGCATTTCCAATCGGGTTCAAGCAAGCAACTCACATCAGGCCTAGCAAGAGGCCATTCATCGTTTCCTCATTCCAATGACCCCGAAGTAGCGCTCATTCGGGGGCAGACGCATTGGCCATCTCATGGAAGGCATATTGCGGTGGTTTGAGTGGGGGAGTGCCATGCTTCCTCACGGACATTAGTTGTTGTTCATTTTAGTGAGCTGTGGGTGGTGCGCTTACACCTTGGTTTCATGACGAATGAGCCATTATTCCGTAGCTTGTCAAAGACACTACTAAGGCGGGGACAGTAAGTTCGAAATTGGTTGGTGTAGGTGGAACACTTGCAGCAGTCAATACACATCACTTAGGCGAGTGCATGTTCGGCAACATCATGGGAAAAAGTTGCCACACTCACGCACATTGCGGTCAGATCTCCTTGAGGCAGCAACACATTGGGGCCCCCTCGGAGCGAAGAGGTAGCCCGAGTCGGCGTGGTGAAGTGTAGTTTTGAGGGCCAAAAGAGCATAAGCCATGGATTAGGTTTGATTGACTCGCACACGGTGAGATGAAGTCTACAGGCCAGCATGGTGAAAGGGTACCCAGGACACATCGCCAATAGCAGGAGTAGACCTATCACTTCGTATTCGGTAGCACCACCGAAAAGTTACCATGAAGACAATCGAGCCATGGGGTAGAGAAATACATGGGACGGACCTTCGCGAAGCCGACACATTCAATTTTTTCGAGGGCCCTTCTTTCACACAATTCAACGGCATAGTCATCGCGTGGTTTGAGTAACCTCAACACTAGGGGTGAAGTCTAGGCAGGCTAGCATGGTGAAATGGTTTCGTCCCCATAAATGAACACCAACACAAGTGTATGACATGGGACATAGACGCTCATTCACAGAAGGAGCTATTGTTGAGGACGGCAATGGGTTGAGTGGGGGAGCCTGTCATGGTCTGACACAGGCTTAGCCTTACCTACGCTTGGCAGACTTACGTTAAGGGACATCACCATCATTTTTTTCCAATAAGATTATTGGGAAATTTCATGTCATCTTCAGGCAGATCTCTAAAAGCTTAACGTACTCTTTGAGGAAGGGTGGTCGACTTCCTTGGGTGCCTAACCTTGGCACTCCTAGACCAACATCTCTTGCAGGGCGGCCCTGGTTAATGGCTAGCATGGCTACCAGGGTTCCTCATGGGCGCACACATGCTCATGGGAACAGTGCATGGACCGGCATTGTGCCATCGACACTCAAGGGAGGCTCTGCACGTGGGTCTAGCTTATGCATGTCCCTACACCTCGCTAGCCCCGTGTCTGAGCTGAATGAGCTATCCCGTTGCCCATAGCTCACGGGTGTGTTCTGGCCCAGCGGTTGCCTATCATGATTGGCACATCAAGTGCCTACATTATTGGCATACAAGAGTCCCTCTCATCGGCGCCCAGTTGCCTCTCATCATGGTCGTCCCCCTTTAGCACGTAAGATGCGCCTCTCATGGACCGGTCAGAGCCAACAGAGAGCCCTGACCATGCAAACTGAGGTCATGATCCAGTTCTACTGAACTTGGTGGAGCCATCTCATCGGGCAACTCCTAGCCTCGTATCACACAAAAGGCTTGTCCTGGCTTGGACGCTGCACGAGTTTTCTTCCGCTGTAGACTACCTCTGTGACAGTAGTGCCATGCTCCTGTCACGGTTTGACACAGGCTTAGCCTTACCTACGCTTGGCAGGCTTACGTTAAGGGACATCACCATCATTTTTGCCAGTAAGATTATTGAGAAATCTCATGTCATCTTTAGGCAGATCTCCAAAAGCTTAATGTACTCTTTGAGGAGGGGTGGTCGACCTCCTTGGGTGCCTAACCTTGGCACTCCTAGACCAACATCCCTTGCGGAGCAGCCTTGGTTAATGGCTAGCATGACTACCAGGGTTCTTCATGGGCGCACATATGCTCATGGGGACAGTGCATGGACCGACACTACGCCACCGACACTCAAAAAAGGCATTGCACATGAATTTGGCTTATGCATGTCCCTATACCTCACTTGCGCTCCTTATACCACTCTCACAGCAAATCCCACCTTGCTGTGAGGTTAGTGTGATGTGTATAGCAAATCCAGTTGCACATCGAAAATATTTCCATCCAAAATATTTTCATACTTGGATGTTGTTATTGATGAAGAGATGTTTCCAGTGCACCGTGGGATGTGATATGAGGTTTGTATGAGGACTCTGTGGAGAGCAGATTTCTAATAACTTCATGGG